CCAGCTCTTAATTGTGCTTTTGCAGCTTGATTGTATTCTGTAATTTGTATGGTCAGTGTGACCTTTTGCTCTCAGCCTCTAATTTCCTTTTACAACCCTGAAATACTTTTTACAACCCTGAAATACAATGGGGCCTTTGAACAGGAAGATAAACAGCTGCCAGAGTATTCAGCTGGTCTCTCCCTGGCATGAGAGATATAAATATTTACAAATATATTTTTTAAGCTCATTTTAAAATGCAGATCTTGATTAGATGCCTCAATTTAACTGTAGTTAAATGAAAGTGGCAGCTTCCAGTCTTTCCACCTTGGCCTCAAGAGGGCGGGGAAAGAGAGAGTATTCGAGGCTAGACATACTCATGTCTTCTGTATGCTGTCTCCTGTAATGTAGTTTGTGCCTTAGCTGACTCTTCTATGTCTTCTTAATTGTCCTGATTTTGCTAATTTTAGTTCTTGGTCTTACCAACTATCCTGCTTGTGTTAACTCCAGATATAACTTGAGAATTATTTTTGCAGTCTTCTCACATCTTCTTTGAAATAAAATAGCTCTTGGGTTCCTTTTTGGTTTCAGTTTCAAATATTCACTGTGTTAACATGAAGCTAAGTGAATGTTAGGGACACGGGTGGCCCTGTGGGTTAAACCACAGCGCCTAGGACTTGCCGATCAGAAGGTTGGCGGTTCGAATCCCCGCGATGGGGTGAGCTCCCGTTGCTCGGTCCCTGCTCCTGCCAACCTAGCAGTTCAAAAGCACCTCAAAGTGCAAGTAGATAAATAGGTATGGCTCCGGTGGGAAGGTAAACGGCGTTTCTGTGCACTGCTCTGGTTCGCCAGAAGCGGCTTAGTCATGCTGGCCACATGACCCGGAAGCTGTACGCCAGCTCCCTCGGCCAATAAAGCGAGATGAGCGCTGCAACCCCAGAGTCAGCCACGACTGGACCTATTGGTCAGGGGTCCCTTTACCTTTAATTGAATGTTACATTTCCCCCCTACAAATTATCTCATGGTTCCAAATACATGCATGCAAATTCCAGAGAAACATTTACCACTTAAACTTTCAGAACGAGACAGTTGCTACCTTGTGTGGAGTTCCCACTTATACACAGTCCCCCTGTTTTGGATAAGCCTGTTAATCAAATTTGCAAACATCTAGTGACCACATCACCCGGAAGCTCTGTTATGAGCTGAAATGTCAAGCGGCCACCAGGGAGAGAAAGGGAAGATTAGAAGTAAAAAGGCTCTAAAGAGCCAAAGTGGTGAAGTGGATAATAATGATGTGAATGTATAATATTAAATGGAAAATAAATAAAAATGATATATATATTTAAAAAGTAAAAAGGCTTCTCCTGTTTGAATTTTATCCACATATGTGGATGAAAGGGGACTCCTATGTGAAAAGGGATATTTATTTAATGCAAGAACCATCACACATAATAAGAAACCTTTTCCTGCAGCTTTGCCTTTGCTGTCATGTCAGCAACATGAAATTCTTCATGCAATGAGTATTTCATTTTTTGCTTTTATACAGTCTTTCTAATATACTTAACACAATGCAAAGTGGTACAGCACTTCTCTATCCGCAGTGGCTGTCTCTGAGTACTGCATTTCTTGGAAAAACATGTGTGCAGCTTGTGTTATTTCCCTTTTAAAAGGTATACTTGTCTCTTAAGGACAGAGTTTCAGAAAGTGCATTAATATTTTATCAGTCTTTTAGCCGAATTCAAGGCTACTTGTCCTTTATATATGTTGTGCATGCAATTTTTTAACGAATGCATTTTATCTATCTCTCTCCCCCTGCCTCCCCTCAGTTTTGTTATGCCACCATTTCCTCCTGATTCCTTAAGTGTTCACTTTCTGTTACAGGCACTTTTAATGCACTCGCCATAACTTGCTACTTGGGAAACTTTGATAGTGTGGTATTCTGTGCTTTCTTCTTCTTCACTATCTGTCCAGATGCTTAACAATATTTATTGTTTGAACTTTGTTTTTATAAGTTGTTTTGTACTTTCACATCTTGTGGCACCAGTTCACACAAGCAGCTTTTCTTCTGAATAAGCTGGTTTCTTTGATTACCTATGTCCCAGATGGGCATATTCCATATTGCTTCCTTCCTTTTCTGGTTTGCAGAGTGAGATCATATGAAGGAATAATCCATGATAACTGTTCTGCTGCACACAACAAAATGACACTTATCAGTTTACGGCATGTAGAAATGGTGTCATGGAAACTAATTGAAGGATTGAATTGCTTGACATTTCCCGGCAGCCTGTTTGGTGCATGCTTCTACAGTGGTGCCCCGCAAGACGAATGCCTCGCAAGACGGAAAAACCGCTAGACGAAAGGGTTTTCCGTTTTGAAGTTGCTTCGCAGGACGAATTCCCCTATGGGCTTGCTTCGCAAGACGAAAATATCTTGCGAGTCTAGAGATTTTTTTGCTACCCCCTTTATCTAATCTGCTAAGCCTTTAATAGCCTTTAATAGCCTTTTAGCAGCTAATCCCCTAAGCCTTTAAGCCTTTAATAGCCGCTAAACCGCTAATAGCGCTAATAGCGCTAATCCGTCAATGGGCTTGCTTCGCAAGACGAAAAAACCGCTAGACGAAGACTCTCGCGGAACGGATTAATTTCGTCTTGCGAGGCACCACTGTACAATTCTGTATCCTTCGCCACACTTCCCTGGGACTGTCTGTTGCCCTTTGGCTGAAATTAGACTTTTGCATTTCTGCCAGATTTCACACAGGAATTTCCTGGTTGACTTATCACAAAATTTCTAGACCTTCCTATTGACATAAGACAAGGGAGGATTCAGTCCATGCTATCATTATTTTCCATTTGTCTTCCAAATATTACAGTCTCTGTCCAGCATCTCACCTTTTGTGACCTCTCAAAAAGCCCATAGGCAAATGCATGCATGCTATCCAATATTTACTGACATTTTATTCTGATGTATCACATAACTGTGTAATGGATATGAGCTCTTTATAAATGACTTTGACCTTTGACTTTGACCTTTTGTGTACTCTCTTAGTTTATTGCAGTTTAATTCATGGAAAGAGGGTTTATTTTATTTTATTTTATTTTAAAGGTTTTGCACTATATACAGAGGATCCAAACCTCTTGGGGCAAAAGATTGTGGTCCTGGATCTTTAAAGTTCCAGGCCTTTTTGGAGATGTAGTCTGGCCAAGAAACAAAGCCAAAGCTTTGTTTTCAAGCTGGTTTTGTATGTGCATTATGTGGCTCCAATGTAGGTATTCTACTCTTCTGTGCTTGCTCTCACAGTGCCCACATTAAGAGGGGAACAGCCACTCTTGATGTAAACCCCCCCCATGTTTAGAATTATGTCACACTTCACAAATTCTTTGAGACCATCTTCACCATAGCTTAGCTGTACTGAACTGAGGATCAGGAATAATTTTGTTTTTTAAGTTCAGGGAGGCTGTGCTTAATTGATGTTTCATTGATGTTTCATACCTTAATTGATGATTCATTGATGTTTCATACCTGGGTTTATTATGTATCTGTTTGCCTTGAGTATATTCTGTTGCCTTGAGTATATTCTTTTTATAAAAAGATAAATAGGAATAGATAGGAATGAAATATAGATAGGAATGAAATACCAACAATAAATAATAATTCATTCCAATAATAATAATAATAATAATAATACAGGTTGAGCCTTGCTTCTACCAGGCACTTACTAGTTGGTCCTGGACAATCTATTATTTCTGTCTTAGCCACCCATGCGTAATACAGACATAAGAATGTTTTTTGGCTTTACAGGATGGCTGTAAGAATCACACACATGGGATTATGTGAATCAAGTTGAACTGCAAAAAAATCAAGTGCTATATAAATGCAAAGTATTCCTTATTCTAACTGAAGTAGAAAGGGATAATTTGTGGTTGAGGCTTTGAATCCATGCATTATTCCTTAGCTAAGTGATACATATGGGTGCAATGTTTGAACTAGAAGTTCTGGGACTCCATAATGTTTTCAGTTCCTCTCTTTCTGCTCACATTTTCACCACTTCTAATATGCAAATTACAAACACTCTGTACAAATAATATTTTTACAGATAAACAAGCTCTCCATGCAAACATTTTACAGTAGTTAAGTATGGTATTTACTAACTTTTTAAGGTATGATAGTCACACGTATGACTGACTGACTGCTGGATAGAAATTATGGGTGTGTGCTTGGGGCAGTGAGCTCCTAGCTCTTAGGAAACAGGTTAGTTCCTTTGAGGCCAAAATAGTTGACCTGGAGAAGCTGATACAGGCAGGGAAATCGGTTGGCAAGGCCTGCAGGGACATATTAGCAGTAAAATGGCAAATGCAGTTCAGTATAAAGGAGTGTAAAGTAACGCACATATATACCGGTAATTTCACATATACAGTCATGGTGTCTGAATTGACAGTGACTGACCAGGACTGACTTTTGGGATGTGGTGGATAATTTGATTAAGGTGTCAACACAGTGTGCAGTGGATGTGAAAAAATGGGAATTCTGTGCTAGGGATCACTAGGAAAGAACAAATCTATGATGCAACCATATTCAGACTACTCTTTGTGGTGGTGTAGAGCTGGAAAAGGTTCAGGAAAAGGCAACCAAAAGAGGGGGTCAGAGCAGCTGGGTAGAGTTTTTCTCCCTCTGTCATAATACAAGATATTGGGGACATCCAATACAGCCAAATGTTGCAAGGTTCAGGGCAGACAAAACAAAGTTCTTCTTCACACAGTGTATGGCTAAAGTATAGAATTTGCTTCCACAAGAAGTGATGATGGCTGTCACCTTGGAGGGTTTAAAAGAGAGTTAGACAAATTCATGGAAGATAAGGCTCTCAGTGGCTAGTAGTAAGGATGCCAATGTTCAGTCTCTACTGTTGAAGGCAATAGGAACACAGGAAGCTGCCTTACCCTGAAACTGACCATTGGTCTGTCTAGCTGAGTATTGTCTACACTGACTGACAGCAGCTGCTCAGGGTTTCAGATCCCAACCCTACCTGAAGATGTCAGGGATTGAAGCTAGAACTTTCTGCATGCAAAGCAGATGCTCTGCTACTGAGCTATAGCTCTTTTTGCATTATATCTCTGAATACCAGTTGCTGAGAATCACAGGTGGGGAAGAGTGCTGTTGCACTCACATTCTGCATGTGGGGCTTTCTGTGGGTCTCTGGTTGGCTACTTTGAAAACAATAGACTAGACAAAATGGCTCTTCTTATGCTCTTACGACTTTCCAAAATCTTCCCAACATGCATATATCTTTTTTCTTTTAAAGAACAGCAACCCAAATTTACTGAAAACATGATCAAATCCTGCTATTTCATCATTCATGCTTAGGTGTGAAATACAATAAAGATACCTAGCCAAGAGCACAGAGACTAGCTTTTCAAAGAGTATTGTTACGGCATGAATATGCATTTTTCTAAAAAATATTTTTAAGCCTTTTTAAAAGAGCAGATTTCCCCTGGAGGTATTGTTTTAGTTAACATAATAAAAGGACGATATATTTTGAAACCTTTTAAATTTGCTGAACACCCCTCCTCCCCACAAATGGTTTCTCTTGAAATAAAAAACATTTTCCTTGATTCTACACGTGGCACAATTTCCTGGCAGAGAAAGTACATTTAATTCCACCAAGTTAAGATAAGTTACAGGATTGGCCCTGCCACTGAGAGATTGAGATGGCTGCCTTGGACAGTAGAGGCTGGGGACAGGGAATAGCAACGATGTGCTGGCAGAGAAAAGCAGCCCACACTACTCACATGCTAAACTTGACTCCAGCAGTGGTTGTGGCTTTATAGTCCAGCCTGCAGCCAATTACACACTTCTTCCAAGTTGGAAGGGGACACTACAGTCTTTCCAGGCTTGTTTCAAGCAGATCTACTCAAATGTCAGCTGGTCTCCTGAGAAGTAATAAGAGGAGGTTGGGGAGAGATGACACACTTCTACTGTTCAGGAAAAACATCAACAAGCTAGAAATCAGTTGCAAGGGTTTTTAAAAAATGCTGTCAAGACTCATGTGGATTATTGGTTTATGCTTTCTGGCCAAACCTGTAGTTCTCTGCTGTTTAATAAAACCCAGTGACTCTTCATGTCACGTGCATGCAATGATATGACAAAGTTTATAGCCAGACACTTAAGGCTGCCGTCCTGTGCTTATTTAGATTAAGTTGTATTCAGATGTGTCAATATAGAGAAAATTTAGTTACATAGTGTTTATGTGCAAGTATGTAAGTTTATGGTGTGTGGAAATCTTCCCTAATACAAGACTCACCTACCATAATCACCACTGTCTGCATACAAATTCAAGATATCTCATGTAATAGGTAAATCAGGTGTGGTTTCCTTCATATCATGGATTTGACCCTGGAGATAAATATATTTTCTTGTTCACACACACTCATGAAAATAGCATTTTAAAGAAACTGGTATTTGTGTTGCGTTTTCTGAATGAAATATTTCACTCTTATGCTATTTAGATATTATTAAAGACTGTTGCATGTTGTATGAATGACTGTTTGAATTGTACATTAATTTTGTTTTGAAACATGAGCACTTTAATATCTGTCATAATTTGGAATTTAAAATATTAGAAATCTAACATTTGTTGGTGCTAGGTGACCAATTTCTTTTCTACCATAAAATTGAGCTGCAAATGAAAAGAAATTTTACATATACTGTACCTCTTCTTGCCTTAGAAACATAGGACGCTATCTTAATTCAAGTCAGGCCCATCAGTCCATCTACCGTAATTCAGTATCATCTAAATTATGTGGTAGCAGCTCTCCAGGGTTTCAGACGGAGTCTCTTCCAGTCCTTCCTGGAGGTGCCAGCGATTGAAACTGGGACCTTCTGCATGGAAGACAGATGCTCCAGCACTGAGCTATGGTCCTTCTTTAGAAAATAGGACCTCTTGGAACGTTTCCTCAATGTCCTGCATCATTATCCTGTTCTCAGAAATAAGTCCTATTGAGTTCATTGAGAATTACTCCCAAATAAATGGATAAAAGACTGATGCCTCAGACTATTAGGCTATTCAGGTTTATTTATGCTGAATATGTACTCCTTGCCTATTTTGTTTCCTCAGTCTGCTGAGCTAAAAAAAATTCCACCATAGATGCTATGCAAGTACAATAACATTTTTTGCAGACTTGGGAAAAAAATAGTTTTGAGCACTGTTTACCTCTTTGGTCCTATAAAAAGTCTAAAAGAAAAATGTGATGAAAAATTCAACACCTTAGGCACTTTAAATAAACATATGAAATTTTCAAAATAAACATGTCAGACATTCATTCATTCTCTAAGAAAACTAGATATATCTTTATTCCATTTCACTAGTTAACCCCTACTTAGTTCTTTGAAGCAAGATGTTTATGTCTGCAACCAAAGCAGAATATTTTGTTCGGGGTCCAAAGCAGCCATTCATTTACCTCAAGACAAGATTTCTATAGAGCATTCACTTTACTACATCAGACATTGCTCCTAGAACAGAATCATCATACAAGAGAAGCTGAAGGAATGGCACAGAATCCAGCCACAAGAAAGGCAATTTGGATGAGCGTCCAACTTGGATGATCATACCAGTCTCATATGAATAATTAATATAAAATGTAAAGTTAGCCCTGTGATGACAGAAGGTGGAGCACACAGTCAGAGCAAACCCTGATGTTTTTGCCTGTCTGTGTTGCTCTCTCGTTCCCACTGGCCATTGACCCTGTGTTGGTGTGAGAAAGCCAACTGGAGCAGGCCTTCATGTTGTATTTGTTCCCCTCCTTTTTTCTTTCCCACAGGACAGATGCAAATGAGCCATATTGAACACCAGTTGAAACATGCTTAGGCTCATGTTCAGCATAATAAGCATGTCATTCACTTGTATAGCTGGTCCATGGCACATATTGAAAAGGGTAGCTTTTTCTGCTCAAGGATTATTTCTGAGGAGTGGTTTAGAAAAGTCAAACTCAGGTTGATGTGATGGGAAGTGCAAAGTTTGAAAGATATGTTGAATGACTTTATTCCTTTGTTCAACTGAAACTAGGGTTTATTTGCTACTGTTTGTCTCAAGCAGAGAATCCTTCAAGTGGTTAAATGTCTGGTAGAATTTCTCTTTCTACCCTGTCTCCCTTTACTGATCTTCAGGAAATGCAATCTGGACTACCAGCCTCAAGTCACACTTCTGAGTGGAAGAGTCCTTGACATCTATAGTGTTTGCTGGACCTATCATAATCCTTTATTTCAATATTTGTTAAAATATAGTTCTGAAAGAGTAATGCATGACCACATCCTTCTGAAGAGGGTGCATGGGTGACCTAAATTCTTTGGGCAATACTAATGTGTTCTCCAATCTACCCTCCCTCCTGCTTTTTACATTTTGAGTTATTTGTATGGAATTAAAAATTGCTTTCAACACTGAAATGATTCTGATTTAATTCACCCAGTTCATATGATCACACCTCATTTCATTGGGATAGAGTTCATTTTGCCTATGCTCAAAACAGAAGAATCCTTCTGCATAGGGAAGATAAAGTTAATTAATTCAGTCATTCAACCGTACCATTGCTAGGTTGCAGATGTGGCAAATGCAGAAAAGCATTTAAAAATATCTACTGCATAAACTTGATATAGAACACTAATGATCTCACACCCAAGTCTTTCCTGCCCTTAAAATTAGAAGCCTGGATGTTCTGTTTAAATAAATAATTGTCTGAAAAATTATACTTTCCCATTTGTCCTCTGCTATAATTGATGTCAACCTACAAATTAAGTGCCCATTAAGTAAATTGAATAAAAACCAATACTATGGAACTACTTTATGCTTTTCCTTTTCTTCTGGAATTAGCAGAGTAGTAAAAAGGCATGGAGCAGAGGAAGTAGGTAATGCTAAAACTTAAAGAAATTCCAGGTTTGTTGTTCCATGTTTTAAAAGCATGGGGCGACCTATCATGCTGTATTAGGGCATTTATTTGTACCACAATTTGTATGGCTCAGATGAATTATTGAATGGTGGGGAACACAATATTTTTGAAGTAGCAAAATGGGAACCAAGCAAGAAGAACAATTTCCTTTTATCCCAGTGCCCCATCTGCCAAAGCTAAGCAATAATAAAGGAACTGGCTTTCATTGTTTCCATATAGTGAAGGTAGACAACATTGCCTCTGACACTTACGGAAGGAAGCATGGCACTCTGGAAGCTTCAGACTTGGCCAAAACTCAAGGATCCCCAAAGCAACCTGTTTTGAGAGGTGAGGCATGGGAAAGAAACATAGGGAATGAACTTTCCCTGCTCTCCCATCTCCTGTCTTAAAGCTACAGATCTTGGTGTGTATTTCTATAAAAACCATAGAAAGTAGGGGATGTGCCACATTTTCACCCAATAGTCATGCTCAGATAAATTCCTTATAGTTGTCAGGCTCACTGACCCCAGATTACTTTCAGTTCTGTCAAGTAGAAACCTGGCAGCTAATATTAATTTGCAGACTAGTGTAATATCACGTGTCCTCAGAAAATGAAGAGGTGGCTAGGGCCTGGAGGTTGTGGAGGCTATCGACAGAGAAGATACAATTATTTTAAGAGCTATATGTATGTGTGTGTGAGAGAGAGGGGTGGGGTGGGGAGGAGGACTGTGGAGCACTGAAGCAATTAAAATCTCATAGACTAAGAAATTCCTTGTGCCTGCATAATTTATAGGGTAGCTCAGCACATGGATCTAGCTTTTCGTATAATTCTACAGATTGTGATTTCATGCATCACATTTTATGGCCATATCCATCAATCTTTTATGTAGTCAAGCAAGAGGATGCAAGACAGACAGACTTCACATCCAGTCTTCCAAACTACCCAACCTCCTGTAGGTTCTCCCTGTTTTAGAATAGTTTCATCATGTGTTTGTGTTTCCTTAGGGAAATTGCTATTACAATTCTATCGACTGTTTAATAGGTCGAACTGCCACACCCGCCGCAACTTGCTTGCAGTTTTGGAGTGAAATAAACTTATTTGAATTTAAGTTAATTGATCACCCACAATATCTGATGAAAGTCCCATTTGTATGTTTTTTATATGAAAGCCCTTTAGAATATATTGATTTTAGTACAATTTTAGATGTGATTTACAGATATGAAAATAACTGAATTCAACTGACATTAGTTCTGGCATTGGTGAAGGGGTATGGGCATATGTTAATGCTGCAGGGGTGGGAACTTCTAGAGGGAATGGTCAGTGCTGACTGGCTTTCTGTCTCAATGGCTATGACATCGATATAGCTCTTTTCTGAATGGATATAGCTCTTTTCTGAATGACATATGTGAAATAGAAGCAATATGCATCTTCAAGTGCAGTTCAGAATCCTGGGCTCTTTAAATTGACAGCTGTTAAGTGGTTTATGAAGTGAGATACCCAGTTATCTGCTGTGTTTGAGTCTCTGTGGAAACTAATCAGGGAGCAAATTACAGGTCAACCTTTCTCCCCCAGATACGTAAGCTTTCAGTGGGCCTGTTTATTGAGTTCACAAACCTTATGCAGAGGTGTCTGCTCGCTACTGAGTATTGAACATTCTGATTTGTTTCTGGGGAAGTTATGACAATGAGCAGTCGTCCTGATTGTTTATGTAGTGGTTGTACATTTTCCCATCAATAATTATCCCATAGTTTTAGTGCATTTCCCTTTCATTTTTCTAACTGCAAGAAGTCCATTTGTTGCATCAAGGGACTTTAATCCACTTTAATTGCACAAAGCTAAATTTACAGTATGCATTTGAATGCCTCCCACAAAACCTGATATTGTTGAGATGTCCAAGATTTCACAGGTTTAGCGTGTAAATCCAGTTGACAAATCATACTGTTCAGATATGACCATCACATTTCCCTCCATATGTTTTCTAACCGCTCTCTTCAAAAATGTTAACCCCCCCTTGTTTTGCAGCTGTCCTTTCAACAATAGTCTCTAAATCTAAAATGTAGCCTCACACTTCAAGCCACATGGAATGTAAAATGTTGCATGACTAGATAGCACAAATGTGATATGCCAGAGAGGTTTAAAATATTAAGGTGTTCATAAATGCTTTTAAATAAATAAATCATTGGGGAACACTGTTCAGCACCATATGATCTCTCTCTCTCTCTACCTACCTATATCCATTTCCTTTAGACAATAACATAAACTAAAAGGTGAACAGTAAGAAAAAGCAAGGGGAGAGAGGGCAGGTAAGGTGTGTGGGGGTCTGACAACATGTCTAGTCAAACTAAATAACCCTTTGTGTATCTAGGAATTTCATCAATCAGGATTTTGTATATATACCCCTATATGCTAACCAAATACCCATGTAATCCAAATATCATGTTACAGTGTGTTATGTTAAAGCTAAGCCAAAATATAGCTCAAAAGAAACTTGTAGCATCTACAATTATTCTTTTCTTTCCCATCCCGCCCCCAAACCAAATATACCTTAAATTCATTTCTTTTGTGGCTGTTCACAGCTCTATTAATTAGCACTTTTTTGTTCTCGCTTGCTGTGCTGGAAGATAGCTAGATTCATTTGGTTTCCTAGGCAATATAGAGATGCTGCTTGTTCAGTAAGACTGGAGGAGTTACCCGGTTGCCTAGCATCCAGGTGGTTCTTCCTACCTTTTGGTGCTGAGCTGCAACAGAGTGCTAGAAGACTAGTAAGAGCCCTTGTATTGTTTATTTTTTTTTAAATAATTTTTTATTGATTTTACAAACAAGTTTTATACAGTACAAACAAATAAAAAGACATACAAACATGTATAGTTTCATAACCTTTTTTTCATAACCCTCTCTTCTCGGACTCCCCAAAGCCTCCCCTTCCTACATCCCAATTCCCAAAATTATTTCAGCAAATTCTAAATAATTTTATCAAATATATTTTTCTTATTTTTTTTT